CATTGTGTCCGGAAGGTGATAAAACAATACATTTTCGGTTGTTCGTCACTCATACGGTGATATTTGAAAGCGTTGCTTTACTCAGTAAAGTAACGCATCAGTAAAGAAAATGTGCCACCCCTAATTTTTAAGGTAGAAATTTACTCTAAATACAACAGAAAACTTTTGAAATGAGGCACAACTATCGCTTCGAATGAACAACTTTCGATCTCAAATTTTGTCAGTGGATAGAACCTTTCTTTTCTAAAAAACTTTTCTTCAAACCGGCTAAAAATGCTCTAGAGATCTCATAAATATGCCAGTTGAATTCTACGTTAGTTTTTACCTATATGAATGCTTTAAAGCTAAGTTTAAGTTAAAACTTTTGGTTTTATCGAAAAAACGACGTACACATTTACTCAAGTACTCACACTGACGATACTGATTTAGTAGTCGAAAACATTTTTTTAAACAATTCCACTTAGCGTTTTTGAAAATGAAAGGAATTATTTTTGAGACTCGAGTCTCGAACATAAAACACAGTAAATTTAGTCTCCTAAAAATTATGTGTCGAAACCGAATTTCTAGAAGCTGAGTCTTCAGAGTAGAACACGGTTTTTTTGTATTTTTGACCCTGAAGATCGAATTATATGAAGTGAGGCCTACCAGAACAAAATTAGAAAATTAAATTTGACCTGTTTTTGTCTCTATATTTAACTTTGAAAAATGCTTCCCTCACAGCGAAAAGGTGAAAATTAGGCATTTTTACTAAACCCCTCTTTTGTCGCTTGCTAGTAGTCCAACGGTAACCCTCACGTACTTGAAGTCCATCCCTTATTAGAAGTACATGTTGGCGAAATTCTTTTGAGAATTGCCCATACACCACTTTCCGATTTTAAGCGCACATAATAGAAGATCATGATCTCATGGTCATGAAAAGTATTTTTGAAACCGTGGCACGACTATTCTGCGATCGACCCTTTCGCAAATTTTTCATAATGTAATGTTTTTTTGATAAAGAATCCGTGAGATCCCTAGCCACAATTTTGTAGAAAATTTTTTTATTTGAAAAACTAACGAATTATATATCATTCAATGCAGTTTTGTCTGCTGATCCCGAATGTGCTATGATTTTTTAACACAAGTGTTCGTGGATTGAACAAAACAGATTTTACCTCAAAAGCCAAGGTTTTTTGGAAAATCTATACCTCAGTTCAGGACTTCTTTCACTAATTTCCGCTATCTGCATAGATGCAGCATATGTCAGCGAACATTTTGGTATAATTTTGAGTCATGTTCAAAGTGGGATGTCGCGGGACAGAGTTAGTTCGGAAAATAATTTTTCTTTTATGAATCCTAGAACCTGATAGAAAAAACTTTTCTTTTTCTAAGTAGTGTCTAGATACAGAATATATTTACACTTTAAATTCTAAGTATGTTTAATCCAATAAAAAAACGTTTTTCACCCAATAGTCACGCTGATCACGAATATCATAGTTAAAACGTTTTCAGTGCGCGTTTTACTCGAAAAAATCGAAAAATAGTAAGGCCGTTTTCAGATGGCGGAGCATTTGTTTTTTAAATGTGTATGACAGCAAACAGTAGCAGAATATGTGAAATAATTATACAGTGAGAATTTTCTCAATTCTTCTCTTTCTCTGACTCTTACTGATTAAAAAGTGTTTATGGATGAACAATTGTTAGAAAGATGTTTTTCTCTTGAGAAAAATTGACGTATTGCTTATTATGAATTGTATTTCAAGTAGAAGAAGTTGGAGAAACACTAATTACTAACATTTTAGTAGTTTTCGTCTCGGAGCGTATCGTTTGCCATCTGCTCTGTGGTGTACATTTTTCATGTCTCAACAAAACAAAAAAACGTTTAAAATAATTATAATAAGAAATGTTCATGTCTTTCTATTTTCTTTGCTCTTTAATTAATACAAACAACACTTAACACTAATTATTATTCTAGTTCTAAAAATTAGGAAAAAACCGACCGAATTCTAGTAATTACGATCGTTATATGTAGAAAGTATGTGTGCTGACTACGAGTACTACAGATTAAAAGTCCTATCCACCCAATAAGTTCTCATTTATCAAAAAACAATAATATGCCAAGTTTGATTCGTCCATCTTGGTTTCGTATTAAAGATATTAGTCATACATTGAACTTTTTTAAAGATTCCGAAAAGAAAACACCACATGATCTACGTAATCAGTATATAAGTACACGTTTATTTATTGTTCTATTCATAACTTCTATTCTCATTCTTATTCTCTATGCATCACTGGAACAGGAAGTGTTAACTAAAAGAGTACAACAGCCAAGTTTTACTGACTATACTGAACTTAATCAATACTATAAACAGACACTTGTTTGTCCATGTAGTACAATTTCAGTTTTATATGAAAAGTTTATTTCATTTCAACCAACGTATCACCAAATATGTCATTCTGATTTTGTTAATGAACAATGGATAAAATATTCTTACCTACGACAAGAAACACGCGGTCCATTTTTCGATCTTCTGATTGCTCAATTATTTCAAACATTATCAACGTTTTGTCTGTTGAGTAAACAGATAATCACAGACGAACGTTTATCATTTAATTCCATAACATTTATAACAGGAACACTAATACCGGAACAAACTTTCAGTCAACAAGCCCTTGGATTCATTAGTACATTTCAAGAAAAAATTAAGAGTTCATTTTCAGCATCATTAGCGTTGATAAGAGGTACAACACAAGGGAACGCATTATTCACAATATTACAGACAAATTACTTTTTAAGTTTTGTTCCGGACTCAGATTCACTTGTTATTGCATCTCGCTCCTATGAAAATTGTTCCTGTCGGCTGTCGTCCCTGTGTTCGACAGAAATTGATATTTGGTATAACAACACAATTGTTTTGAATATTCCCGGGTTACGTATGGGTTGTTCTATAATAGAAGCTCTTCTTCAATCAAATCTTATCTTTTTCTACAATCAATCGCTTTTAAATCAATTACAAACGTATCTTTTTCACAATGATCAATTTAATATAAGTGTAACAGCACTCGATCCATCTCTGCCAACTAATTACACACCTGCAACAACAATTGGTGATATTCTTAAAATGTTAATGATTGAAGATTGGAATTTTCATATATCATATGAATCCTATTTTAGTACATGTCAACCAATTTCATGTGCATACAATATCATTGCACATAACAACTTCATTTATATTATTACAACAGCGTTTGGATTAATCGGAGGAATTGCAACTGCTCTGATGTTTTTGATTCCATTGATCGTCGGATTCATTCGCCGACGAAATAAAATTTCAGCTGTTATTGATGATGAAATAAATACAGGTAAAGGAATGAAATGGAAACGTATCTTCTTATACAAGTCTTTTCGTTTCCTTATTTACTACCGATGCCGGAATCGAAAAATATGATCAAATGCTCATTGTAGTCAAAACCCAGAACCAGTTCTATAGAAAATCCACACAAGTCAGAGATAACAAATATAAATTCTGACTTGATCAAAATGAGATATCTCTTAGTTTCCCACGACTTTCTTCTGTACAGATTTTGGAACATAAAAGCAACTCTCCGAACGAAAGTTCTTTAGAACCTTTTTAGTACCGCGAAAATTAAAACAAAAACCAGTCTAATTTGGAAAAGCTATGGTTCTTATTACATTTTCTTTTAGGACCACCAAATCTATTTCAAGATCGTATTCGTCTACTGTGGTCTCGTATCAACGATAAAATTCGTACGTTTAACATCTTCAAAAATCCAGAAAAGAAAACTACGTATGATTTAACCAATCAATATTATGCTACTCGATTATTTATTCTGTGTCTTACAATATCTATGGTCATACTTATCAGTTATACCACTTTGACAACTGTTACAATAACTGTTAAAATTGAGCAACCAACATCATTTGTTTTTTTACAGCAGCTGTATCCAAAATATAATCAAACACTTAATTGTCCATGTACACAAATATCAATTGAATACAAAGAATTTATATCATTTCAACCAACATTTCATCAAGTATGTTCAAGTGACTTTATCAGTCAGTCATGGTTTAATTATGATCCTGTAGATTTCTCAATGGTCGCACTTGATTTTCGTGTCACAATGTCCAGTTCATTTCTAGCATTATTAACATTCTGTAAATTATCGATTGAAACAATTCAGAATACTCTTTTAGTTTTTAATTCATCAACATTTGTTACATCAAATGTCATATCGGAAAATCTATTTCAAGTGCGAGCTGTTGAATTTATTTCATTATTTCAAGAGACAACAATTAAATCATTTCAAAATTCATTGAAAATGATTAGTGAAACAACGCAAGGTAACGCATTGGCTGCTTCCATATATATTGTGCTCGATAATTCATCACATCAATTACTGTCTGTTTCACCATTTTTTTCTATCAACAACAATACTGGTGAAATATGTTGGTGTAAAGTTAATAAGTCATGTGTAATTGATAGTGCTATTTATAGTCTCTGGACTCCAGATTATACAGATATACCAACTTTGTTCAACATTCCACACTTTTATATTGGTTGCTATATTATAGAGTCATTACTTTTATCCACTCTTGAATGTTTTTTTAATCAATCTTGTTTGGATTCAATCAATACATATTTATATAGCATGTCATTATATCCGTTTAATGCAACCATAATGAACTCATCTTTAGAAAGTCAATACAAAATAAGCACACCGATCGGTGAAATTGTTCAACAATTAATGATTGAACAATGGAATGATCAAATATTCTATGATCAATATTATTCTGCATGTCAACCAATTGAATGTACTTATACATATCAAAAACAAGCTGATTTAATCTACATGATTACCACCATTATCGGCTTATTAGGTGGAGTTACAACTGTTTTAAAGTTATTAATACCATCATTCGTTTCATTTCTAAGCCGAGAAAAGGATCGAAAAGCAGCAACAGATACAACATCGCCGTCTCCACAAAGTAAGCCATGTTAAAGTAACCTTTCTGAGGCATTTAGTAAAACACATTTTTGAAATTGTGTTTTCTATGATGTGGTTCTGATCATACTATATCCAATTATGGTTTGATGGGGATCATACGATAAACGGAGATTGTGTTGACATTGTGACATGCCTATAGTCGCAAGCTGGAATGACATTATGTTTCAAAAATAAAAATTATTCCCTTGAGGTCTCAACCGAAAATGTCTACACGTTTGTCCGCATCAGCAGATATTATATCATGATCAACAGATGATAGTAAGTAGCTAGTAAAAATACTAAAAGAATTTCTGCTCTTGTCGCTTCTTTCAGAAGTTATGGGAAATGTTTGTCCTTTTTCCTAGTGAAGTACGGGAGAAATGAAAAATTGTATAACTTATTTAAGAATCTAATTCTGGTTCAGGTGTTTCTTGTAAAAAATAAAGAGAACAAGTATTAAACTTTATTTCAACACCTCAAAATGCAAAATGAGCGATCTGATGAATAACATTTTTCTTTTATCCGCCCACTCCCTAGAACCATATTTAAACGAAAGAAAGAAACCTAAAACAAACAAAATATGTATTTAGCTTTTTTAAAAGATCTGCTCAATTTCTATCGTGCACGGCTGAATAATCAATAACTAGGATAGAAGGTATGTCGTATAGTTAAGAATTATACGTAATAAATCTTATAAATAAAATTATCTCAATTGGTTAAAAACTTGCTTCTCTATCAGTACAGAGCTTTGGCTGTCAACTGTGTCTCCACTCTTAACTGTTTTCTTCTTTTCAAAAGACATTCCATTAAAGCAGAAAAGTTTTGTTCTGCGCATGATTACGCTGTCTATAAACTGTAATTCATATTTTATCAAACATGCTTTGAGGTATGCTTTCATCTGGCGACTGTAAGGCATGGTTTAACGAAAAAAGCGCAGTTGAACTGAGGTAATCAAGGAAAGTCGGCAAAGATCTGACGGCCAACAAGAGTCACGCTAGCAAGTAGAGATGTTTTGAGGCTGTTTAGCCTCCAGCAAAGATAGAGAAACTGGTTTATTCATAGCTTTTCTTGACTGTCGAAGAGTGGATAACCTTCTTCTGCACAAGTATCGTAAAAAGAAACCTTTTACAGTTTAGCGACTTAGTGAGAAGTTCTCAGCCGATTTTCGTCTGATTATTGTTTTGTCTCTGCCTTTTTTCCATGACAACTTTACCGGTGAGTCATATCGTTCGGCCAGCGAATACGTCAGAAATTCAGGCGACAGTAGCGCAACTAATAAACTTAATCATTTGAGACTTGCAATTTGTATCTGAGATAATTCCAAATGTCTCGGTTGATTCCTGCTTTATCGGCATCTACAGTAAGTAATATTCTAGCCTTCGGCTGAACAGCGGTTAACCTTACGATATTTTTACATACTGCGGTACTCTAAATTAGCGTACGGTTACCGACGGTATTTTGAAGGAGCTCGATATGGGCCACAGCTTCTAATAAATTCAAACAAAAATCATACAGGTTTTTGGGATAATTTTTTAGCCGATAACAACAATCGTCGAAGTTTATTGTGGATTAAAGTGAAACATGTTTTGAAGACATTAAATCTTTTTAAAAATTATGAGAAGAAATCGGATTATGCTTTAAAAAACCAACAAGTTGCTACATGGATTTGTATTCTTCTGTTATTTATTTCACTCGTTATTCTAGTCATCTATTCATCTAGTCAAAATTTAACTCAAATTGTTAAAGTTAAACAACCAACATTATCGATTTACAATGAATTGTATCGAAAATATTCACAAACACTTCAATGTCCATGTTCTAATAATGCAGTTGACTATCGAAAATTTGTTTCATTTCAACCTAAATATCATCAAATTTGTCAATCAGACTTTATTACTATGCAATGGATAAATAACATTGGGTATAACGTATCATTAGCTGTCATAACAAACGAAGATGATTTTCGACAAACAGCAAGTGTTGCATTTCAACTATTATCAAAATTATGTGAGTTAACTCAAGAAACAGTTAGTTATCAGTTAGGTATTTTTAATTCAACAAAATTCATATCAGTTAATGTTATTTCAAACACTTCACTTGAATCGCAAGCAGAAAACACTATTAATACATTTAAACAAACAACAATAAATACATTTAAAAGATCATTACTATTAATTAAAAGTACAACACAAGCAAATACATTAATGTCTTATCTATTAACAAATACAATGCTAGTGGCGGCGCATCCAGCAGAATATGCATCGTATATGGATTATATTTATGATTATGATCGCATTTATAACACAACAACGAATGAATCATGTAGTTGTATAGAAGCACCTATTTGTTTTCAACAAGCTGCTATTTATAGTATAAATTCTCCTTATTATGATAATCCTTATTATTTTTATGTTTCGAGTAACACAGCACTTATTTTTCGTATACCAGGTATTTAATATGTTACTTTTAATACTTTCTTTACACCTTTCTGTTTTTCACCTTCTTGTTTAGGAATTTACGTGGGATGTTATATTGTTGATGCTGTATTACATTCTGATCTTCAGTGTTTCTATGATCAAACGTGTTTATCATCATTACTCAATGCTATACAATATCCATTAAATAACAATGTTACACTTCTCAATTCGTCTTTAACAACTCGATATAATACAACAACAACAATTGGTGAACTGGTACAAAATTTAATGATTGAACAGTGGAATAATAAAACATCACATGAATTCTATTTCAATACCTGTCAACCACAATATTGTACTTATGCCTATATCAGTCGAAGTACACCGATATTTACCATTACAACAATCATTGGTTTAATTGGTGGACTTACAAAAGTTTACAAACTTTTAATACCATTGATTGTACGTTTGATTCGTCGATACATTTGGTGGCCATATTTTGAACGAAAACTAGTGTGGAGCAATAATATCGTTGCTCCTGTACCGCAAGCAGTTTCAGTTTCTCCTGTAACTGTTGGTGATGATAAACTTGCAACAATCTCAATATAATGAAATACTTTACGTGCACATCATATCTGGCAACGAGCCATATTTTCAGCGGTGCAGGCCCTACCAGCTCGGTATTTACTGTGACGTATCCCGACCGGCCCGTATGAACTGATTGTTCAGCCTGCCCGGACGGAACTGTGATTTTATGCGACCCGACAACAAGAGTCAGACTAAATAGACGGCCTTTCTGCGGTCAATATATCTCACCAAGAATGCTCGATTATCTACGTTTATAATGGTAAGCATTACCAATGTTTTTATTGGTCTGTAGTATAAACCAATGTATACTTTATCACAGAACTCTATTCTGTATGGGTGATCAAGTAGTTTATCAACTAAACTTGAACAAAGGACGATTTTTCACAAAAACATGAAATAATGAAAAACAGAGTCGGGCCGGGAGTCCGACTATTTAAATTGGTCCGACCGGCCCGTGAACCGCTTCAGCCCGGCCCGACCGAGCCCAAGAATAGTCTGAACCGAGACCGCCCGCCCACAAAATTCCGGACCGGGTCGGGCGGTCCAACCGGTCCGTTTCTTGCCCTGGTGTACACTGTTGCTTATTTTTTCAGTGTAACAGCTTTCATTTGCTTATTGCATAAACTGACATTATTTATCGTTTTGTCTAATGCAGCTCACCGATTTTACCATCAATCATCACTTGTATAAAACGAGACTAAGTTTAGTTCAAACAGCATCATAAAGTGTGGATTCAGGTTGAACATAACATTTTGTACAAGTTAGTAGAATTTATTATCAAGATTTGCAGAATTTTATTTGAAAAAGTCAAAAAAGTGGAATATTTCAAAGATGGAATGATTGTTCTGTAAAGATATTTGTTCGTTGAATGTTTCAGCTTTTCATCTCTTTTGTTCGCTAAGTTATAGATCTTTCTGTTTTTAAGGAAAGTACATGGAATTTTCTCAACATATTTTCTTTATTTACGTTTCCCCGTCTCCACGCGGTTAGCTCACATCTCTATAATTGCTTTTGTCTTCCAAAAGAATTCAATAACTTTTGAACGAAGCAATACGGGCATATATCCTTTTAGAGTTTTCACAAGCTCGATATACTCTATCGATTGAAATATTGGACATTAGCTCTTCTCATATTCCGATTGAGAGTGATGCCCATGCCCTCGACGTCTGAAGCTATCTATGGATGGCAATAGCTTTCGAGGAACTAGCGTGTGACATCCAGATAAGTCCACAATTAAGGCGACGTTCATGCTGTCATGCAGTTCAAAAGTGAGACTTTCAGTAGTCCATTTTCATATAGCTGACACGACGTCCTGTCCTATCGTTGGATGCTCGAGTGTTTGTTTTCTTTTTATTGTGACCACATGTGAATGGATGCTCGATCCGCTTTTGTGGCTTGTACTTTTTTGATTTTCTATTCTCACATCAATAAACGAGATTAAAACAGCTAAATATTTCCAACTATAATGCTCCATTTCATCTGGGTCGAGACGAGAATGGAGGAGGATGCTTGATTTATGGTAGGAAAGACTTTTATATCAATCGTTTAAGCCTCTTAGCTTCAGTGCTTTCGCGACATACAGAAATTCTCGGTAATGATAGGTCCGAGAAGGTTTTTTTTTTATTTGTAGATAACACTTACAGCTAGGACTTGACCGAGTCCGATTTTTGAATTATGCTTCCATTTTTTATAATAATGAGCTCTAAGAAATATTTCAAAGTTCAATTAAGCAACAGAAATCAGTAAATGAGAAATTCAAAAATCGGGCTCTGTCATTTCCTAGCCATATGTGCTTACTGCAGAACAAAAATAGCCTGAGCTCTCTATCCTACACCTGGAATGAGAATTCTTGCATGTCGTAGACGTCTTCTTTTGTTCCTTGCTGTGACGTCCTCTCACAACAGTTGTAAGTGGCGCCATAAAAAAACTTCGTTATTACGCTTTGACATGGTCAACATTCCCTGAAAATTTGGTTCGGATCAGATCTACCCGGGTTGAGATAGGTCCGTGAACCGGGGGCAGCCTTACGTGAACGTGACGATTCCCTTAATGAAATTATGTGTGATCGGTTAACTCTAACACCACTACTAATATTTTAATTGTTGTTGTTAGCGAGGAATTATAATTAGTACGTTGAACTAGTATTAAAGTGTGAGTAATTCTGGAAAAGGGAAACAAACTATTTGAATCGCCTTCTTACTATCAGCCGGCGTTCAAATCAAAAAGAAAAACATGTGTTTGCGAAACAATCGATCACAAATCAAAATGATCTTTTGTAAATCTTAACAACGTTATTGAAGCTGATGCAGAATTCTTGATGTAGTTAACCCCAGTATCATCTTCGAAATCCGAATGCTTTTGACCGCTTGTGCACATTCCTGATCACTCAGACTGAAGAAAGGCGAAGATGGATGATAGACGAGAAAATCGGAGCACATCAAAGATCTGCCACGGTCTTTCGAAAAGCAAGGAGCCGTGTCTCCAACTATCCCTCGTTTGTGACTAACATCATTGGATCTGAACGTAGACTCGTCGTGACCTTGAATAAAACAGCAAAAGAGAAGCAAACCTCCAAAAGATACAAAAACGGAGAAAATCCAGCTCATGACATGCAGAAAACAATGACCGGATCTGGAGAGACAGGAACAATACACTGAGGATCTTCAACTTGAGTAATTCGATAATAATGGTCTTCTCACTAGTTTTTCTCTATACTCGACAACATCTTATGTCCGATAAACAACGGTCGAATTTTGTTAGAGGAGTAATTGATGCCCCGACGACGAAGATCGATTCTCAGACTTTGGACAGATCGAATTAGTTCATCAGTAACTTTCGTTGCGTCGGTTAATTCATAATACTGTTGATTGATATACTCTCCAAGCTGTTGAATTGTAAAGCCTGCAGATTTGCTGCTGGCTCCTTCCAGAGGAAACTGACGACCAATAATTTCCAACTCGGAATAACAATCATAAAAGGCACAGCCTCTCTTTCCTCCACGTCCTTCGGAACAGAAATCATCCAGATCTTTGTTAAGAAACACTCGAGACCACTTGTGGCAAGTTCCTTGTGGCAAGTCATCGCACCGGTGGAATTCAATAACGACTCAACATCTTGATACGTAAATTTCAAATGACGAAGAGTAACGTACATCAAAGTACTCAAATATCTGATGTTGACAGCTTCCGCACAAAGTGCAGACAGATCACCAATGCTGTCAATCATTTCTTTAGCCGAAAAATCAAACTCTTTCGCTTGGTCGCCTAGAACTTGTACATTCTCGCTGGACGAACTCTTTGCTTTTTCTCAGTGAAGGATTCGGTGGACTTCTTCTTTTTAAATTGTTAGTTTGACCGTGACAACGTCATTTACTAATTTGAGGCATTTTTATGAGTTTAAAGAAGTTATTTAAAACAGAAGAAATTATTAACTTGTGGATTAATTAATGCTCTCTGATCTCTCTCTTATTCATGATTCATTTCACGTAAAAAACTGAAGGCTGATTGGTTCAACCAATGGAGACAAAGCGCGTAACCTTTTTGATCGGCGCACTTTCTCGATGAGAAAGAACAACCTTTTCTGTATTTTGGTTACTTTTATTTTATTATTCGGCTGATACTCGTACGATTTTAAATGCCTTTTTGACCTTTTACGAATAAAACGCGCACTTCAAACTTTTTAACTATGATATTTGTGATCAGCGTAAAATTCTGCGTCGAGTGAGGTGTATTTGAGGCAAAAATACTATCTTGCGCGATCTTTGAATTAGCCGAATCTTAACTTTCCGAGTGTCGATAAACTTGTTTCGTTAAGAATTATCGTATTTTTAGTGAGATTATAAACATCTCGTAATTCTTGATTGCTTTTACTGTATAAAACTAATTTTGCAATTCAAATATGTTGAACATTATTAATCCGAAATATAGACCCCAACATAAACAAAACTTCTTCTTCATTATCATTGAATTCTTCGGACGAATTTATTGTTAAATATTTAATGATAATGAAATAGTATATCAGCAAATGTTTTTGTTGAAAGACGTGTATCAACTTGAATTTCAAATAATATTGACTCTTTTCTATCTTTTGGTTCTTCAGATACAAATAAACCTGTGACATTCCGATTTTTACTTGTTGATAATAATGAATTCAGTGATATAAATTCACCAATATTTGATTTGCTTTCGTTTAATTCTTTTGAAGAAATTATTTGATCACGATAAACATGAATGATCGATTCTTGATTATGGTGATTGCTATTAAAATGTTTTAATTGTTCGAACGTATCCTTAATCAATAATCGAAATTCAAACGGACAGTCGATATCTTTAATACGAAGTACTGTATTAAGTATGCGATATAGAAATGAATCTCTTACATAGCTCCTGAACCATGCGTTTCCAAGATATTTCTTAGATCCAGTTTAGTAGAGGACACTTCTGACTATACATGTACGAAAAGAAACCCATAGATTTCTATGTCACCTTTCAGAGAACCGAACTGGTTTTCCACAGGTATCCTGAAAAACCGATCATTGAAATTTTCCAGACTTGTTTTTGCTTATGAAAGCATAGCCTCGGATCTCGGCTAGCGAATGATGAAAACCGCAAATCTGTATCTCTATGTTTTATTCCTCTTGAGTTATTCAAAAAATAACGACCGGCCTTGTATTTTAGCGCCGATAATTAGGCATGCACCAATACCAATCATTATTGAAGATATTGTACAATATTATTGGCTATCCATTAGGATACCCAGATTGGGTATTGTATGCCTAATCTGTTGGGACCAATAATATTGGTCACTCAATAATACTATACAATAATATTGGGTAATATTGGGTTCGCAATACACTAGATTCCAACTTTTTAACCTTAATAGCATTTCCCTTCATAAAAACGCGAGGAAGCATATCCCGATCGGGATTAGGCATGTACCGCTTAACAATCGATATTAGGGCATCCAGCAAAGTCGTTCCGAATCAGATGTCAAAACGCACTTAGAGTTGCCGAATGTCTCATTTTGTAGAAAAATGTTTGCTCTACCAAACTAAAGTGCAAGAAGGCATTTTAGTATTATCTGCGACAGAAATATAAGCATCAAAAACTGAGCAAAATTGCGAAAAAAGCGACCGGCGATTATTTTTCTATGATTATAGTGCATTTTCGATTTATTGTATTTTCTCTATATATAACATCAAAATTTTTGTAGCACTTCAGTTTAGTAGCGAAAACATTTTCCTACAAAATGAAGCGTTCGGCAGCTCTGAGAGCTTTTTATAACTGATTTGGAACGACTTTGCTGAATGCCCTGATATTAATTATTAATCGGTGCATGCCCAATTGGGTTATTTTTTGATTCAAAACGGGATATAAAGCATGATTCCGTACTGTAAAAGTAGGCCGACCTCAAGTGACCCATACCCAATAATATTGCG